CATATCGTTTAATTTATATTACTCATATGGTTTGTTAGGCGCATTTGATCATATTCACATGTTAATTTGCGCCTTAGAAATATTAAATATTATTATTAAATATTATTTTATTATTTTTTAAGTTGCAGACAAAGAAATTGTTGAAGGCCAAGCCGTGCTCTAGATTTAGCAAGAACTACATTGTATTCTCGTTTTATGCAGCTGTCTTTAATTCTGATTGTAATAAACTAACTTGAATTTGTACTTCATTTGCAAGCAAAATAAGCGCGATTTACAATCTCAACAGTAATAAACAAGATGTTTTCAGAAGCCTTCAACAGAAAAGGCAAAGTTATCAAAATAACCCCCAGAAGACCACACGAAACATCAAGAGAGTTGACGCTACATTTGTGGAAATCACTTGACACTTCGTGTGATGAATTTTTTTTACCTTAGGCAGTTGACATCACATGAAAATACATTCTTTGCAGCCCTTTTAGTACACAGGAGATTTCTAATTTTGAATGTAATAAACTAACTTTAATGTGCACTTCATTTGTAAGCAGAAAGAGAAAACAATAGGCGTGCTTTGTAATCTTCAACAGTATAGTAACAAACAAGATGTTTTTAGAAACTTTTCAACAGAATAAGCAGCTACCAAAATAGCTCCAGAAAACAAGACAAAACATCCACGAGAGTTAACGCAGCAGTTAACGTTGTGTGATGACTTTTTTTAAAACCTATAGCTGTTGAAATCACATGAAAATACATTCTTCCAGAGAGATGACACCTTACAACCTTTCGGAAGAGGGTATCATGAAATCATTTTGCAAAATGCTAATAACAAAACAGCACCACATGATAGTACTTCTCAGTGGCTTTCAATTGAATGATCAAAAACTAGTTAAAACTAGGATTTCGTCCACAAACGGAAAAGTTAGAGCCACGTTATAATGTATAATAAACCGTACTGTGGAATAGATTACCCTTGGATACTCGTCAGTCACCCTCTCTTGATGAATTTAAATCTAAGTTGAAGAATTATGATTTTGATGGCAGTCTTATGTAAGTTTTATTTTGCTTTTGTACAAGGCTTCCTTGTAAAGCAGGTTTTTTTTTAATCATTTCTTTCATTGTAGTAGTTATCAGTGATTTATTAGTTAGGTAGCGCGTATAATGATCAATACCTTTAATTGAATGCTCCCACACTATAGGGATTCACACAGTTCAACCAATTTGAACTTGCGAGTTAAGACGAACTCCGAAAGGGGATCGAGCAATATTAGTTTTCCGTGGACAAAAACCCTGTACTAGAATAATTTTAATTATAGAACAGACCTTTTTGCATTTTCTAAAAGCTAGAGATGTAAATAGTAGCCTGAAATAACACCAAAGACAATTTCCCAAGAAATCTCGAGAAAATAAATTTTAAAAATCAGAGAAATTGTGCAATCACAGGTAAAATTTCACCATCGGTTTTATTTTACTAGTACCTTTTAAGTGTTTCTTATGAACCTCAAAATTTGCTTTCGACATTTGGTGTTGACAGAAATCTTTTCTTTTGAGGAGATATTTAAAACAGTCGCAAAGAAGTTTCTTGTACAATGTAAATAATCTCGGTACAAAGTTTTTGTCCACTTGTTACTCGAACTTCTGGTGGATTCCTTCTTAAGCTTTCTGGAATCATGTCCCATCCCAGGAAAAAGGGAACGAAAAACAAATCATCAAGCCCCGAAAGCGAAGTCCTTCACAGCCCTCCGAAATTAGAGCATTTGTGTGATTAGACACTTATTTTGCCTTACCTGGAAATCAATCCTGAGAACACCTCGTACCCTACGTCCGTCTTGGTGACCACAGGGTACCCACCATGAGGTGTGTCCAACAACATACGAGTGAGACGCTCCACAGATTCTATTTTGTGTACCACCTTGAACAAAGTACACGAACAAACTATTACAAAAATAGCTTTAGCTATAGCGGGGCCATAAACACTACCGAGGGTAAATAAAGTTTATATAACGTTTTTACATTATTTATTCTTTGGAACAGTCTTCCTTCTGACGTAAGGGAAGCAAGGTTCCTTGGGCAATTTAAACGTCTACTTCAACAAGTATTGTAAGGCAAGGCATTCGTGGAAAATAGATTTTTATTTAATTAATTTACATTACATTAGTTATAGATAAGTTATTTATAAATTGTTTTTAAAGCTGACGAATATTTGCCGTGATCAAATTAAAGAAATTAAAAAAACACACAAGAGGCTCCTCTAAAACTACTCACAGATTTTTACGACATCATTACAGTTAAAACAAAAGGTGGAAGACTTCATTTGTTAGCTTCCCAAAGGGGAACCTCCCCCTTGGAGAAGGCGTGTTTTAAAAGGAGCTAGTCATACACAAACGTAACTTACATTGCAAAAGTTCGCCTACATCTCGCGTTTCAAAACAGTGTTGCGAGACAAAGTACAGTACTCATAACACTGAAGTAAGGTGTATGCAGTGTTACACTATGAAACTGTTCCCCCTCAGTTGGCTTTTGGAAACCAAAATGTCATTAGATTCCTGACTTCTTTCATTTTTGAACTTACAATAGCAGGTGAGGACATGGCGTCTCCAGCTCTAAACAACTCTAAGTTAATCCTGAAAGAAAGAGAGATGCTGTAAAACTTACTAACTATAGGACCTTTAAAAGTGTACAGCAAACGAAACAATGGCTAACAACATGCATAGTGAATACCCTGATGAAATGAGGTAGCTGCCAATCTAGCTGCTACAAGTCACGTATTTTCTCGTTAGGGGGTTATACGACCTTAACCGGTCCTTTACCCCCAAGTCGATTAGCCCCTAGCCGGTTAGCCCCCAACCAGAGGTCGATCAGCCCCCATCCCAGACTTAAAGAACGAGAAATAGATAGTGTTTTCGACTTCTGGTTGAGGGCTAATCGACTTCTGGTTGGTAACCGACTTTAAACATCTACGGGGAAAATACTAAGTGTGGAAGTTAAAGAGGCCGTGCACAGCCTAAATACATACACCGTTGCTTTGTAAAACATAATCTCTAGTTCTTTTCAGCAGCTTTACACTGTCACTTTTTTAATTTCTCTGTTTTCATTTGTATCCACGCTTAAAAGTTTACTGATATTCAAGTGTACCAGTGATGATGCAGGAAACAAGCGGTGCCTTGTGTGGTTACAAATTTTCTTTCGGTGTAATAAGGACACAAAAAAAAGAACAGGGAAATTCCATTTTGTTTCTTCTTTCTTCTCGCTTCAGTCCCACATGAGAACCGTGCAAGGAGCATTTTACACTGGTTTAGTTGTGAAGCTGATTGGTTGAGGTGTCACGAAGTTTTCAACTATTTCACTAGTTATTTTTGAGACTTACGCTTTTGATCCCTCGTGCAGTATAACAGGTTCAGAGTCAAGGAAGGGAATGCACTTCAATTCCAGTAATGCATGGTACAAGGGATGCGTGGCAAAGTCGCCGACCCACTTGGCTACCATAATGGCGACCATGATCGGTAGTAAAAACTGAATGTCATTTGTAATCTCCATCTGCGAGAAGAGAGAAAAGAATTAACGACAGTAAAAAAAAACAACAACAGCTATTGTTCTGTACAGAATTCAGGAGATTCTCAAGGAAAGTAACGTATTTTATTGTAGGGTAATGTAAGAAAGGTAAGGTAAGGTAAACAACGCAATTATTGAAATGTGATATAAATAGAGTGATGACAGTAATGTGTTCAATGCAAGGCGCCCTAAGGTGGCTCGAAACAGTTTCCAGCACTTAAATTTTGATGGGTCGTTATATCCACTTTTTATTACTTGATGCTACAGTCATGGTATCAAACAACTGCCCAATCATTTGTGAACACGTTGTTATCATTTCTGTTTCACAATAGGTTACCATAGCAACAGTATGACCTGCTAAAAACACCCTTAATTACAGCTTTAGGGGCTTATAATTCAAAAACTGCACGGTGAATTTTTTTTATATTATCAACTTTTCATAAGTATGATAAGACGCAACTTTTGGCAAAGTTTAAAAAAATTCTGTCGGTGAGGTTCAGTGCCACCTTAAATCTTCGAAAATTTACGGTGGCTCTGACCCCACTCACATAATTTTTTTAAACTTTGCCAAAAGTTGCGTCTTATCATTCTTATCAAAAATTGATACTATAAAAAAAATTCACCGTGCCGTTTTTGAATTATAAGCCCCTAAAGCTGTAATTAAGGGTGTTTTTAGCAGGTCATGCTGTTGTTATGGTAACCTATTGTGAAACAAAAATGATAACAACGTGTTTATCAACGACTGGGCAGTTTTTTGATACCATGACTGTAGCATCAAGTGATAAAGAGTGGATATAACGACCCATCAAAATTTAAGTGCTGGAAACTGTTTTGAGCCACCTTAAATGATGTGGTTACGTATTGTAATTCAGTGTTAGTTTACATAGGTTTTTATTAGATTTTTGATTATTGTATATTTTAGAGTGCTACATGTTTATTAGTTGTATAACTATTACGTGGTTTACACTCTGATTGATTGATTGATTGATTGGTTATATCGTATTGTTTATGAAAGTATTGTTAGGTAAGTGTATCCATGCAAGTGACAAATGTAATTAAAATAAATTTACCTCGTATATCGCGGATTATAATAGTAAGCAATGGGTACTCAAGATAAAACACCAGGGAGGTGTGAGAGAAACTGGCAATTTTGGTGGAAAGTCGTGTTCTAGGAGCTGTTCTTGTTGATTTAAGCCTAAAGATTCTATGACATAGGGTAATCATCTGGGTTTTAAGAAGTTTTAGTCGTCTTTTTCGTAGGCATTTTTGGTGTGTAAAATCACGGGCTCCATTAGACAGGTGGATCCTCAAGTTCATTAAGGCATTAAGGTATCCATAAAATGATAACTGTAGATCTCTGTTTCTATTCAAAGTAAATGGAGTTAAACCAACTCTCAAAACTCCACCCTAGCACCAACTAAACTATAATCCTCCCTAGACTAAACCTTTGTTAGACACAAACTGTACATTCCTCCTGAGCAATGGTTTTACTCACCATAATCACCGTTAATGACATAGTTAGCCTTGATACACCACCAAAGAATGATGCTGCCCCTATGAGAGCAAAAGCTCCTGGGTCCATCCACGCCCAGTAACCTGAAATGAAATGGTTAAAGACTCTTGATTCATAACATGAGGGAACTAAGCTGAGCTTCTCTCATCTTTTGCTATCAATCAGCTCATATCATTGCCTGGCTTTTTTTTTTCTTATCTAAGCAAACTGTCTAATATTTTGACTTTTGCTCTTATTTGAAGGCAATTAGTGATGTGACATGCTCACGTTGGGTAAAAGTCCGTTTTTAGGGGTTAAAAAGCATTTTTGGTGCCTCTTAGGGTATTCAGCATCAAAAGGTCCACAGCAGGAGCTTTTGCAGTACCTTTTAGGGTATTGAGCAGAAAAAAATATGGCTGGAGATAATGTGTTGTTTTAGAATTGGTACCTCTTAGGGGTGAAAAGAATTTCAAACCAGCCCACAAAACAGGCGTTCCTAGGCGTTCTTTTCAAATTTTCCGACGAGCACCCCCGTCATTTTGATATGGGAGTCCCCCGGGAACTTTCCCATCACCCTAGATCCTTTTTATAGGGGAGTTCCCCTCCGAGCATTATAACTGTTTGTTTCCTTTGTTAGTATTTTTATAATAATTACTGTGTAATCAGTCTAATTGCTAAGAACAGAGAGGTGGGTGTCAAAAGCTCAAGCACAGTTTTCTAATTAGCTTCAAACAAAAGCTCTCAGAGTACAAACCTGAGGAGTGAACACCAAATAAATCTACCATGGCTCGTCCAATGATACGGCCATACGTTCCACCAATAAATCTGAAAAGGATAGGTTTCTGTAAGATGCCAAATCAAACAAAACTTAATGTGGTGCATAGATTGTAGCAATAAAGTACCCTGTGAGCAGTTGATTGCTCCTACGCTGAACGAAATATTATTTTTGACTACACTCTCCAACTGACCAAGCCCTGATTTTCCTTAGATAAGTCGCTAAGCAACAATCACTGCTAAGCAACACATGCAATCATAATCGTAGAGTGTCTGGACTCAAACCTGAACCTTCCAATCTCAAGCTCAAAGGTTAATTAATAGACAACAGTGGGCACCGTACTAGAGCTCAAACTATATTTAAATGTTTAACGAAAACCACGACCTCTTAATCTGCTTCAATGTAATGCCCCATTCACACCAACTAAACTAGTTTAACTAATCCAAGTTTAGGTTTTTACAATTTGTCAATTACGCTTTGCAGTCATTTTGTGAGGACAAAGTTCAAATCACTTTGCTAACATATTTTAATCAAACAGGGTTTTACCTGGTTAAGTATGGGTTATGCATTCATGGTATGAGAAAATAATTTTTAACCTTGTTTAGTTAACCACTTTTAAACGTGTTTACATGTAACATGTTGGTGTGAATGTGGTATAGATCAGTGTTTAACTGTTTGAATTCTGTGGTTAATAAAGGTCATTCATTCAGTTGGGAACAAAGATATACAAAAGTGGCAATTACTCCTTCTCCAAAAATGTCTGACAAATACCAGCTCCACACAAATGCACCCATATGTCTATTTAAAAAATAAAATATAATTATACTCACAACATAGGAACAACCAAACCACTAGAAATAGCACTTCCAGCTGACCAACAAGCAAGGAGGAAGTATATCACTAATACTGAACACAGAGACCTGAGAAAAGGAAAGAAAATCATATATTTGTGTACCTAAATTATTAACCCATTTACTCCCAGAGCTTTTTGCCAAAAATGCATTTTTTGGACATTTTGGAGATTTTCAGGCTGGATATGAGCCAGATTAGCTCCATTCTACCCAAAAAGGCATTTGCAACATGACAGCATGCCTTTCTTTCCACTAGCATCGCGTTTTACGACATTTTTGCTCAGGCATGCCTAGAAATCAAAATTCTGAGATAGAAAATGACCTATGTCTTAAGGCTTTTCNACCAAGCCCCACGGAAACGCTTGCTACGCAGGCTAGCCTACAGGGTGGGTGCTTATTTGGGGTTGTGGGCTTAATTGAATAAATATGGTATTTTAAATTGAGGAGGCACTTTAGCACTTTCTCAACGAAGGACACTTAAACAAAGGAAGGGGTCAGCTGAGCAAATATCATATGGTACAGCATTTAGGGAATAGCATGTGACTGGAGTTAAATGGTTCAACAATTTAGTGTCCAATACAGAATAATTCCTTGGGGTTAAACTAAAGAGAAAAAAGGTTAAGAGAACAATTTCATTCAAATTTATTTGTGATACATACGCATATCCCAGTTGATAAGGTGTATCTCTAGAGAACAAGTGATGAATAGCTTTCTCTCCTGTGATAAATAGAAGAGTGGCCACTAAAATGAAAATAAATGTTGCTTTAGATATTTCAACATTGCATTAAATATTTCAGGGACTTCTACAGACAGGCAAGACATTTACAATTATGTACAAAGTTCTGCAACTGCTTCAAAAATAGACATCTGCATCTCTTAGAACATTGTTCACCTTCATTAAAGGAAGCATTTGTAAACACAGTTCCATTGATGATTGTTGTGTCTCCAGGGCAAGTGTAGTTTCTCACATCTCTTTCGGTGTGCAAGGGATGCTGGCTGGCTGTCAAACACTTGTCACTAGGAATCAAAAGGATGTCATGGTTAACAATATATTGTAGGCAGTAACCAAGTTGTTTAAAACTGAAAAGCTGTTCAAAGCTTCATAACAGTTTCATAACATTCTATTACTTGTGGGAAGAAATTGGGCCTTTTCCACAACAACATGTGCTGAATGACTTTGGAACAGCCACTGTGCTGAATGGGCCACCCTGCATAAATAAAGTATTACCTACCTTTACCTACCTTTACCTACCTTTAATGCTCCTGAAGTCATTTTCACAGAAAGGATTTCTCACTAAATTCAAAACAATGGTTGGGCATCATGTGGCTTTGTGGGCTATGTAGAAATTTCACCTTAATTACAACTGTTAAATGAAATTACTTTTTCTATTTCTCTAGTTCTAAAGGCAAATAAATTATTTTATTACATGGCAAGATGGTCTTGAGATAAATCTGAGCATTCTGATTGGTTCTTTCTTGGTCGAGTCTTCAGACCGTTTCCATGGAAATGGCCATAAACTATGTATTTTTTATTTTATTTTATGCAAATATAATATACTACTTACTAACCTAGCTTGCTTGAGCCATACTGAGGAATATTGGCCCTCGGCCACCAAGTTCAGTGCAGTCCGTACTGCCACATCCTTGGGCCAGTATACCCCAGTACGGCCCTCACACTCAGTTAGTTAGAGGTTAATATTCTTAGCAAAGACATATTTTCTTTCTGTTCCAAAGTTATTTTGACTTTGAATTAGAACGTGATTGGACTTGTTACAGGTGCATATCAACAGACATTTTATTTATTGCTGGCAGTCACCATGAAACATGCAAAGTATCCCTGCAATATTAAATGGTACTAATGCATGTGCATGCATTACCTGTTTCCCCCCGCTGTAACGGAACACTGAAATAAGGTACATGGAAATGCTGCAGGTAGAAATACAGATGCTGTACCTGTAATAATCTGTAACATAACAATTAACAACCATTTTCAGTAAACTTCAAATTAACATGGCATGGGCAATGTTCCTTAATAACGGACTTGTGGTTTAGTGAATTACAATGTAGAATCTGGATAGGTAGATTACAGGAGTATACATAGATGTTAGCGAACTAGCGTGAGGTGCGTATTGGAGATTGGTTGAGTTTCTTTTTGCAGGTTTATTGATTAAGCTGCAGGGGAGGTCTAAAAACTTGCAAAAACAGAAAACAAATACAGACTGAACAAGCTAGTTCAATAAAGTATTTATCATCATGGCTCTTTTCAACCTGCTGATAAACTAATGCCTCAGCGATCCATTCCTAACAAGGTAAGCATTTATTTACATTTCTTGTGTTACTTGTTTGCGTGAACAGATTTGAACTAAAATTGTCTTCCAGACATGAAGGTAAATAGATTTCTACCTAACAAAAAACTTTTATTTTGTACAATGAATTGAAAAAGCAATTCACCAAAATTAATTTGCGTGTTGTCCACTTAAGCAGTCTATACTGCAAAATTCAGACCGCTAAGGGAACCAATCATAATTCTCCTTTTCATTGCAGACCAGTTCAGCCATATAATAAATCAGGGTATACTGGTGAATTGTTACGACAACTGAAATGATCATGGAGGAGTAGTCAGTGAAGGTGGCAATATACAATTCTTAGTCATCAATTTCATGTCAATAATATTTAATGATGCTTAAGTGTATCTAACCGCCTGGGCTGGGTTGTTCAAAAGCCGGTTAATGCTATCCCAGAATCAAAAGTTAACCGAAGAATTCATTTTTCTTTATAGCAATGGTTTTTACTGCTAATGTTTCATGTAGTTAGAGATTGCTCAAGCTCAAAACTGAAGGACAAACAATATAAACAGAAAACCTCACCGAAACGTCACAAAACTGAAATTAAAATTCTCGTTAATCCTAGGTTAGCTTAATCGAGTTTTGAACAACCTGGCCATGGACACATTGTGGGTATATGGTGCTCTTGCACCATTTAAAGGGATGGTTTTACTGCTTGGTGCATGTGCAGCCTATATAATGAACTTATACCATTATTTACCAAAGAATCAAAAGTGAGCTGATGTCTCTTGTGGGAAGTTTTCTTTGGAAATTTTGTAGTCAGCCATCATAGCATTGTGATAGAGGTGATATGTTGCATTAGAATTCTGTTTGTATGTTCCAACTGCATGGCACACCACAGGATTCTACATTTTATGACCCACTATTTATGCAAGCAGATCAAATTAAGTTTTCAATTTTTAATTTGACAGTCTTTTGCATTTGCCAAATTATGAAGCTGTCTGACCCTTTAAATTATGTAAAGGCCAGCAATGCAGGCATAGAGCTAGACATTTTTAAAACATACCATGATTAGAATTGGTTCAGATAGCTTAGCAATGTTCTTCCACTGTTTGGACTTAATCTTGGCAACTTGGGATCTTCGAAATCTTGCAATCTACATGGAAATATGAGAGACAATACATTTAAAGCTGCTAAAAGGGACTACAACTGAGGGTTCAAGTATAGAGATCCTCCGTTGCAGAATCAGGGCCATGGTGTAATGAAGAGAAGTGCAAGGTGGACTTCATTTGGCTACTATAGGCAACTGTAAAGCAAAATAGAAGAGGTTGTTCAAAGGTGTCCTTTGCTGACCAGGAAACTACATATGTAAGTTTTAAATTTCGACAAAAAGAAAAGCTGATCATATAGTAGAGTTACCCATGATTTCAAATTGTAACACAAGGATTATGGACATGACTAAACAGAATATACAGAGTATCTACATAATATTATTATGTTTATGGTCAAAGGTAGCAACATAATCATCTCTCTTTTAGCCTGATGAAAGCTTATTTAAAGTTATTAGTTTTAGCTGAAATTTCTTGGGTTTAGATTTACATGTATGACAAGTGTGCTGTACACATTTTAGCGTCACCTCCTGACTACAGCAACCAATTGCCATGCACCTCTTTAGAACTGTAATTTCATTTGCTCCCTAGTTGTTTCATGCAACTCTTTATTGTTTTAAGGACTAGGTACATTGTTTATGTTGCCTGTTATATTGTTTTCTCAGCCAATCCTGTTGAGCAGCTACTCCATACTGAAACAACAAGAGAAACTTGATAATTCTCTTTGATTTTAGTTCATTTAATATAATTGTCATTCTTAGTTAGTTTCACCCCCAAACATTCAGCCACTGTCTTGCATTCTCATAGTTAGCAAGGGACATTTTCAGGATACTCAGAACAAAGAAATCCCCCTGAATGATGAACATAACAAATACTGTACCTTTAAATTAAGAAAGGTGAACATAGCACCTAACAAGCCACCAATTACTCCAAGAATAACAGTTGGTATAAATGCCAGAAGGTTTAAACCAATACCATGACTAATCTGGAATTAAACATTTGAAATCAGGTACTGTTCATTTTGGGGAGGTGGGAGGGAGGAAGAGGGGCTGGTGGGAACTGGTAGAGAGTCACTGTAGTATAATTATAATGACCCCCCTTTATAACAAATATCTACCCTGGTGCCTCAATTGTAATCCTAAATTTTTGAGATGTCCCCCTTGAAAACGATCGAATAATTAACATTAAACTTGTCCAGCTAAACTACATGTAACAATATGCCCACTGGGGTTATACAACCAAATAGTTGGCTGGGTTGTGGAGTCTGGGGGCATGCTCCTCAGGGAAAGTTCAAATTTTCAGAACCCCAGAAACACTATTTTAGGCATTATGGTAGAATTTTTTGTACTATAGGTGTCATCAATAGACTTAATAGTACTTATTTTGAGTTACAACCCCCAAGATCAGACAAAAATTTACAGATTTAGAAAGACTGGCAGTGAAGAGAACGAAGAAAATTATTCTGTTAATAGTTTAAGTGCCAGCTGTAAAAATTTACTATGATCCAACATACCTTTCTTTAGTAAGCACTTACTTGAAACAAAATGTTCTTTTCAGCTTTAAACATGCCAAAATCTCCTTGATACTTGAACCCTTCAAAAGCTGAATTAAACAAGTCCTGCAAATGAATGTGAATCAATCACAGTTTCTCTCTACAGAAAAACTAAATTTTTCACCATTGACTGTTAGCCATTTGCTAAGGTGAGATATATTTATAAGCAAAGACTGGACAGGAACAAAATAATATAATATAGAAATTATTATGTTTCATTTTACTGACCTCAGGACCATAAGTTAATAAAAGAAAATTGCCAGTACTCATAATTTTCATACAATCTGGATAAATATGCAACATAGACTAAACTTAGCAATAACTAAACTTTGGTCCCTGCACCAACTGCAATGTGGTAGTTACACTGTACTTCAATAATAAATAACTTACTGTAGTAAATGTTGATACCATGCAAGCAAAGAATGTTTGCCATGATAATTTCATGTTCCAAAATGATGACACCTCTTCCATAGAGAACAACAGTCCACCCACTGGTGCTCCAAAAGCTGAAGCCACGCCTGCTGCAGCACCAGCAGAAATGAAGTTACGTCTGTTTGACAAATGGAGCACTTAATTTATATGATAACACAGTTGAACTTCTCCACAAAGGCCACCTTAGGGATAGAGGAAAGTGGTTGTTGTAAAGAGGTGGCCGTTATGGGGAGGTAGGGGTGTAACATGACACCTGTTTGTTTGGGGGTGCAACATTGTTTTTCGAAAAATGCTTATTTTAGCATATATGTATCAAAATGTATCAAGAAATCAGAAACTTCATTACAGAAACTTCATTACAGAAACAGAGGCCAACAACGTACAGTACAGATAAAGTTTAGTGGCCTTTACAATGCAAATGAAGTTTTCTATACATCGTTTATCAGTCATTGATTAACTGGCCATAGTCTAGAGGTTATTTTGACAGTTGAGACAAGTTTTAGTTGCCATTTCCGTTGTAGAGAGGTTAAAATAAGAGTGAATGTATGAACTGTCTGCCAGGACCAGAAAAAGTGGCCACTGTGGAGAAGTGACCATTAGACAAGTGGAGGTTCAACTGTATATGATTTGAATGATAATTCTTATCAGACGGGTTTTGTGGGTAATACTATTTTTTATTCTCCAGCACACCAGAAACTTCAACAAAATATATTTCTTATAGTTGTGCAAACTCACCTGTCTTCTGTGTTACGGAACCTCTCAAAGAATGGCAGTTTGAAATTAAGAGTCTGTGATTTAAACTGACTGAGGCCTGCACCAACTAAGCTCCTGCAACAAACAAATGATCATGCTTTTCATTACTTTCAGATAAAAGTTGAATTTATGTTTGAAAAGTGCAATGTACTTTTTGAGCATACCAATAATTAATAATTACTATTAATAATGTTTCTATTATTACAGGGTTCGTACCCTTTTTCAGAAACAAATTTCCAGACTTTTCCAGGACTTTTCCAGGACTCAGATTGATTTTTCCAGGACTCTAAAATTCACATTAACCCTTTCACTCCCAAGATCTTAATGTTAATTCTCCT